GCTTTCTTGCGGGGCAGCCTGCACGAGGAGATCTGGCTGCGCCGCCCACCTGGCTTCACTGGGACTTTTCCTCCTGGCACCCAGTGGAGCCTCCGGCGGCCAGTCTACGGTCTCCGCCAGGCACCTCGTGAGTGGCACGACACACTGAGGACTACACTTGCGGCTCTTGGGTTTGCTCCTTCTACTGCCGACCCGTCGCTGTTTCTGCGCACCGACACTTCTTTGCAGCCGTTCTACATCCTCGTGTACGTCGACGACTTGGTCTTTGCTACAGCTGACACTGCTGGACTTGCCTACGTGAAGTCCGAGCTGCAGAAGAGACACACGTGCACAGACCTGGGTGAACTGCGCAGCTACCTTGGCTTGCAGATCATCCGGGACAGAGCACAGCGCACCATCACCCTGACTAAGTCACACATGGTGCAGCAGGTCCTTCAGCGCTTCGGCTTCACGTACTCCTCGCTTCAGGCCACTCCTCTGTCTACATGCCACTCGCTCTCAGCTCTGCCTTCGGATGAGTCCGTAGAGTCGAGTGGCCCGTACCCAGAGCTTGTTGGCTGCCTCATGTACCTGATGACCTGCACTCGACCTGACCTTGCATACCCTCTTAGCATTCTGGCACGCTATGTTGCTCCTAGGAGACACAGACCAGAGCACATGGCTGCAGCGAAGAGGGTTTTGCGCTACTTGTGCAGTACGTCGGGCATGGGGCTTGTGCTTGGAGGGCAGAGTCCAGTGGTCCTCACTGGTCACGCAGACGCTTCTTGGGCTGACGACCAGGCTACTCAGCGGTCGTCACAGGGTTACACCTTCAGCCTTGGTTCCGGCTCTGTTTCGTGGCGGTCTACCCGCTCGTCTTCTGTTCTCGGCTCCAGTTGTGAGGCTGAGATCTACGCAGGGGCCATGGCTGCACAGGAGCTACGCTGGCTCACCTACCTGCTGACTGACCTGGGAGAGCCGCCTCGTTCTCCTCCAGTGCTGTACGTAGACAACAAGGCCATGCTGGCCTTGTGTCGGGAGCACAGACTGGAGCACAGAACGAAGCACATCGCTCTTCGCTACTTCCTTGCTCGTGAGCTGCAGCAGCGTGGTCAGCTGCGCCTTGCTTACGTGGCCTCTCAGGCCAACACTGCTGATATCTTCACTAAGGCACTCGCGCCTTGTGATCATCAGCGCTTCTGTACTCTCTTAAGTCTTGTGCCTACCTTGCCTCACTTGCTCACTTCTTGACCTTGCTTGTACTGTTACATATATATATACCTGCTCTTGCTTGTTTAGCGTTATATATATGTAATCTTGCATGTGAACTGGCCTTGTGGCCTTGAACTTGTGCTCAGAATGTGTGGTGACGTTGTGATCCACCCTGAGCTTGCTTTGTCTTGCTTTGACTGGTCTTGTGACCCCTTTTTCTCCCCCACTTTGCCTATGGGGGTGTGTCAAACTCATATACTATAGTCTGTGTAGGCTGTAGTGGGGTAGCTTACATGGGGTACAACACTTGTACTTGTTACAACACTTACACAGGGTTTGGTACTTGTACTCCTCATGCTGCTCAATGCATTCATTCTCGTTCTCATTTTCACACAATCACGGCAAACATTTGATTTTATAAGCCACGTACATCATCAACAGGACCGTCGTCAACGAGTTTCTTACTCTGATAACGGTGGATCGCGACCAACGGAGCCAATGCAATGGTGGGGAAGGACATTGGAGTGGTGGCCCGGCTCAGATTGCGGATCCCACACCTTGTGTTTACACATTGCATCGCTCATCGATAATGATGTTGCGGTGTTCTTGTTTATCTGCACCGTTTGATATGGACGATTACTAAATTGTTTCATATTTCTTTCTTGCTTTCTTTCTTTCTTTTTCTTTTCATGCGGGAAGGCACTCGCTGCACGTGATGCCGCAACAGTTGTCTCCGAGCTGACCATGGTCACAATGTCGTCTGTGCCTTCTCCGATCTCTTGGGGAGGAGCAGCGTCCAGTATCAAAGGTTTCAAAACATGCAACACGTGTTCTTCCAAACGAGTCTGGAGGTGCAGGTAATACACCCCGTCCGTTGGCTATCGCGAGGCCAGGCCATTTCCCGGCTCCTCGAGATCTTGCCGGCCGCCATCGTAATGCTCAAGGAGTACCGCCCTGACTTGTACGAGGTTGTAACCTCGTTCAAGTTTCACTGGCTACTCCGCTTTCTTGCTGATGTCTTATGAGAGCTGAACCACTTGAATCAGCGCTTCCAGCAGAGACTGGTGAGTGGTTCCATAAATTATTCGTGATTGTAGTAACAAGTGTACTTCCCCTTATATCCCACTGCCACTAACATACTCGTACTTGCTGCTGCAGATTGACGTCACGCTTGTTGCGCACATTATGCAGCAGACGCGGATGCGGCTCAAGGCGCACTACGTGAACTCGGCTCCCGGTCACGTGTTCAGAAGCGGGGAGTACATGACTCTTCCCGAGCTCTTCAAGAAGCATCAGAAGCTAGAAAACCTCGAGATGCACGCTGAAGGCACTGACTCCGACGGAAATCCAGTGTCGTTTTCATTCATCCTGCACAAGTGGTCGTTGAAAGGGCAAGACACCGATGGCGACGTCACCTTTGAAAGTTCGTCCGCGCGGTCGACAAGAAACTGGAATGGTGGATGCGCGATCTCGACAATCTAGAGGGATCGAAGCTATTCCGCACCGCTTCTTACATCCCAGACGACGCCAAGCGCGTAAAGGCGTTTAAGCGTTGGCTGGGCAAACTGCACAACCTCTACCACGATCAGCTGCCAGGTAAGCGGTGTTGCATTGACTAGCTGTGCGTTTTGTTCCTGCGCGTTGTTATAATCTGTTTCACCAACAGCTGCATGTGTTCATCTTGTTCTGTTGGACTAATGCGCCCCACTCCACCCGGTGTCTGCGAGATTAGCCCTCTTTAACCCCCACCCCGTACACCAGGCTTCACCTTTAACAAGGCGAGCAACGAACTGTGGATGTTCACATCCACTTTGTTCAGCCAGCATAATGGGGAGGACTTCCATCAGGCGCTATCGAACATGATGCACGACAACGGCTGGTAGCAGTCCTTCCCCAACGTTATGAAGATGTGGCAAGCCGTCGCCGTTCTGCCACTGAGCATGGTGGAATGTGAACGCGGGTTCAGCAAGCAGAACCTCATAAAGACATGGGGAAGAAGGTGCCTCTCAGACACCAGCCTGGAGCACCTCATGCGATGTTACCTGGTGCAGTATGAGGTGGACAGGTTTGAGGTAGTGATCTTCAGAGGGAAGAAATTGCGTCGTTCTACAAAGGACTTCAGCGGTAGCAATGAAAGCAACACCTTGTTTGCAGAAGGGACTGTAGAGGGTAGTGTCCCTATGACTCGTTAGTTTGAGTTAGAGTACATTCCTGCATGGACACAAGTGTCTCAATCCCTTTGTGACACCTAAAAACAGCATAGAACGTATTGTGTCACAAATGCGTATCGCCCTAGTGTGACTTTTACTATAATTTTCATTGGTCAACGTTAAACGCGCCAAAGTCGTGGTGAGTTGGACGAGGCCCCGTTATATCAAAGAAGTCGCGCGCGGGTCGAAATGTCAAGCTCTTGGCTGCTACAACTGCATGCATCAGGACGCCCCTCGCAGTGCCAGATCCGAGCGGGAAAAGTACCCGCTCTGTTCGGGCAGCCGAACAAGTGGTGCAAAACCCCACTTTCGTGCACCAAGTCCTCGATCATGACTGCCCGCTGAATCCACTCTCCTTCTCGACCCTTCTGGCATCTCTCTCGAGCCCAACTTCTTCTTCTCTTCCGTCTTGCGTTTCCAATTCTTGTTTCTTGTTTCTCCGTTCTTCCATATCTAGACTCATCCCTAGCCACGGCGCGTAAGCGCAAGAGCGCAGCCGATACTGGAGGCACTTGCCTACAGGATCTCAATGAGATCCCGTATATTTCATGGATGAACAAGCAACTTACAGCTGGTCGCAAGCCCGCTGGACGGCAACCCGAAGGAGCTCCCTCACCGGGTGGAACCTGCATGACGGCGCCGTGACGCGGACCGGGTGGCATCCTCGCGCATTATGAATGACAACGCCCTCGTCGACAACAACGACGACTCCGAGTGGAATGAGAACGCCGTCGGCACCGATGACGAGGCGGACTCGGGAGAGGAGGACAAGGGCATATCCGACTCCGATGACAAAGCACACGAGGGCGACGACGAAGATGCCCCTGAGGAAACGCAGCCTGAGACGCCGGCCCCTCTTCGCGGCCGTAACAAGCCCGCCGTCGGCGATAAGACCACCGCCAAGGGTGGCGAACCACCGTGCCGCGTTCCAAAGACCTGCGACCAGATCCCACTCAAGCGTAGCGTCTGGTCGCAGCAGGAGAACGCTACTTTTCGTGGCAGCGCGCTGGTTCACTAAGGACGAGTTCGAGCCTCTTATTGGGAAGCAAGGCTCGCATTATTGGGCCTGCCTCGTCCGTCACATTGAGAAGGAAAACCCTGGCTGGGTGCGCGGCGTGAACGCGGTGTAGAAGCAGTGGCGCAACATGGTGTCTATCTACAAGCAGCTGAAGAAGGGGGAGAAGGCGTCGGGTAAGGGTGCGGTGGCGAAGCCACCATGGTTGCTGTACATGGAGCTGTTCCTGTCAGAATAACTAGGCAAGAATGAGTGCATTGAATGGAACAGTTGGGTACAAGTAGCAAACCCTAGTTGGGGTTGTACCCCATATTGGCTACCCCACTACAGCCTACCAACATATAACACATTACAATTTAACACACCCCCATAGGCAAAGTGGGGGAGAACAAAGGGTCACAAGACCAGTCCAGCAAAGCAACGCAAGCCCAGGGTGGATCACAACGTCACCACACTCTGAGCACAAGCAAAGGCCACAAGGCCAGTTCACATGCAGTGCTAGAGATAGTACAAGACAAGCAACACAGTGATCAAAACCTAGCAAGCAAGCAACAGGATATATATAAAGTACAGTACAAAGAATGTCAAGCAGTGAGCAAGTGAGGAAACGTGGACACAAGGCCTAAAGAAGTACAGTGCCGCTGATGATCACTAGGCGGGAGCGCCTTGGTGAAGATATCAGCAGTGTTGGCCTTCGAGTCCACGTACACAAGCCGAAGCTGACCGCGCTGCTGAAGCTCTCGAGCAAGAAAGTAGCGAAGAGCAATGTGCTTCGTCCTGTGCTCCAGTCTGTGCTCCTGACACAAGGCAAGAGCCGCCTTGTTGTCACCGTACAGAACTGGAGGAGAACTAGGCCGCTCTCCCAAGTCAGTCAGCAGGTAGGTGAGCCAGCGTAACTCCTGTGCAGCCATGGCTGTGGCGTAAATCTCAGCCTCACAACTAGAGCCGAGAACAGAAGAAGAGCGGGTGGACCGCCACGAGACAGAACCAGAGCCAAGGCTGAAGGTGTAACCCTGTGACGACCGCTGCGTAGCCAGGTCGTCCACCCAAGAAGCGTCCGAGTGACCAGTGAGGACAACTCTGTCACGTCCTCCAAGCACCAGCCCCATGCCTGATGTACTGCACAAGTAACGCAGCACCCTCTTAGCAGCCTCCCAGTGCTCTCGCCTGTGTCTCCCAGGCGCAACGTAACGAGCAAGGATGCTAAGAGGGTACGCGAGGTCAGGTCGCGTGCAGGTCATCAGGTACATGAGGCAGCCTACAAGCTCTGGGTACGGGCCACTCGGCTCTACGGACTCGTCCGAAGGTGGAGCTGAGAGCGAGTGGCTGGTAGCCAGAGGTGTGGCCTGTGGTGAGGAGAACTGGAAGCCGAAGCGCTGAAGGACCTGCTGCACCATGTGTGACTGAGTCAGGGTGATGGTGCGGCGAGCTCTGTCCCGGGTGATCTGCAAGCCAAGGTAGCTACGCAGTTCACCCAGGTCAGTGCAGGTGTGTCTCTTCTGCAGCTCCGACTTCACACGAGCGAGTGCCTCAGTGTCAGCAGTAGCAAAGACCAAGTCGTCGACGTACACGAGAATGTAGAACGGCGGCAGCGACGTGTCTGTGCGCAGAAACAGCGACGGGTCAGCAGTAGACGGCGCGAACCCAAGAGCCGCAAGTGTAGTCCTCAGTGTGTCGTGCCACTCACGTGGCGCCTGGCGGAGACCGTAGACTGGCCGGCGGAGACTCCACTGGGTACCAGGGGGAAACGACCCAGTAAAGCCAGGTGGGCGGCGCAGCCAGATCTCCTCGTGCAGGCTGCCCTGCAGGAACGCTGTGCTGAAGTCAAGAGAGTGAAGCTCGTAGTCACGCTGAGCAGCAACGTGCAGCAGAACCCGAAGAGTGGTCATCTTCGGGGTGGGGGAGAAGGTCTGGAAGAAGTCGACCCCCTGACGCTGACTGAAGCCTCTAGCAACGTAACGAGCCTTGAAGACAGGCGGAGAACCTGGCGGCCGCTTCACCCTGAAAATCCACATGCCATCGACGATGTTCGCCCCAGGAGGGGGAACCTCGTCGACGTAGGTGCCTGTGGACTTCCAGGATGCCATCTCTGCGTCCATGGCTGTCTGCCACTGAGAGGAGTAGGGACCCGAGATCGCCTCTGCGTAAGTGCGCGGAGTGGGGATGTCTAGTGCATCCGGGTCTCCCTCAGGGGCAAGCAACCAGGCCACGAGATGAGGTACAGCAGCCGCGAGAGAGTCAAAGTCCTCCTGCCTGTCCTCAAGGACGTCCGTGCCAAGAGCACACTCACCCCCGACGGACGGAGGACAGACAGACGCAGACTCTGACTCAGCAACAAGGCTAGCAGCGTAGTCTAGACGACAGGCAGCAGCAAAGTCAACCAACTCAGCGACCAGAGCAGACGCAGCCGAGGACTCGAAGGTAGGGTCAGTGACAACAGTAGCTAGGAGACGCGTGACAGTAGGGTGCTCAGCACGATACCGGTCAGACTCAGGGTCCGGAACGGCAGGCAAAGAGGACGCAGGAGGAGACGGTAGAGGGACACGCTGAGGAGCAGTAGACGGACGCAGAGTCATGTAGTGAGTGCCTGGGACAGGAGGAGGACGCTCACGACGGACACGACTACCAGTGCGAGCAGTACGAACAGGCGACGCAGGACGAGACTCAGGCTCACGACGCTCTGTAAGACCTCCTGTGGGACCAGTGTAAGGAGAGGGAGCAGGGAGAGGCGAGGTAGGCGGTAACTGGGACTGCGGCTGGACAGGCGGAGGACACTCTACGGAGGGAGGAGGACAAGGAGGAGGAGCCTGCCCAAGAACCTGCTGAAGGAGTGGTACGAAGTACGGTCGCGGCCGCGCAGGGTCTCCAGAAGCAGAAGAGACTCCAGCGGCCGGGTCCTCAGTACCAGCAGGAGCTCCAACGTCCGGGTCCCCAGCACCAGCAGCAGCGCCACCGCTCGGGTCCTCAGCTCCAGCAGCAGCTCCACCAGGTGGGTCCGCAGCACCAGCAGCAGCGCCACCCCCAGGGTCCGCAGCACCGCTAGGAAGAGCACCCCCAGAGTCGGCAGCTCCAACTCCGCTAGCACCGCCAGCTCCAGAGTCCCCAGCTCCAGCAGCTCCAGTCGTAGCGCTCCCAGAACAACCAGTCCCTGCAGCTCCAGTACCCCCAGTACGAGCACCCCCAGGACGAGCAGCTCCAGCACCCCCAACTCCAGCCGAGCCACTAGGACGGCGAAAGCGCCGGACGTACCAGTCACGAAGCTGCTGCGGTGTGAGAGACTGCTCAGCACCCCGAACCGGAGCACCCCCAGACGCAGTAACCCGAGGCTCCGTAGGCTCAGTAGCAGCACCCCCAGGCTCAGTACCCGCAGGCTCAGCACCCCCAGACTCCGCACACGCAGGCTCAGCACCCCCAGTCGCAGCACCCCCAGGCTCAGCACCCCCAGGCGCCGAACTCTCAGGCACAGTACCCTCAGCTCCAGCACCCGCAGTCCCAGCACTCCCAGGCCCAGCACCCGCAGGCTCAGCACCCCCAGGCTCAGCACTCCCAGCAGTACCACCTGCAGCAGCACCTGAGTCACCTGTGACCTCGACAGGCTCAGCGACGGGAGGAGGGTCTACCTGAAGGAGCAGGACCCTGAGGGGGGAGGGGGTCTACCGGAGGGGGACCAGGAGCAAGGAAAAGCGGCGGGGGAGGGAGGGGGGCAGTGCGGTAGGGGAAGAGACGGTAAAAAGGGACCGACTCGTCAAAGGTGACGTCCTGAGAGGCGAAGACCCGGCGCGAGGTGGGGTGGTAAAACTGCCAGCCCGGCGCGTCAGGGACAAAGCCAAGGAAGACACAGGGAAGCGTGCGGGAGGAGAGCTTGTCCGCGGACGTATCGCGGACAAGGGCACGAGCACCCCACACCCGGAAGCGCGACGCATCGCCAACCTCCCCCGTCCAACGCAGTGTGGGCGAGGTCTCCGGCAAGGAGACACGGGGCCAGAGGTTGAGCTGATGTGCGGCGTACCGGACAGCAAACGGCCACAGAAAATGGGGAGCCGCCGCGTGAACCAAGGAGGTACGAGCGACCTCCATGACCAGGCCAATGCGGCGCTCAGCAACCCCATTCTGCTGTGGGGAGTCCGGAAGCGTGAAGGTCTGCTCGATGCCCTCCGCCTGACAGAAGGTCCTCAAGAGATCAGAGGAAAACTCACCACCTCTGTCAGAGTGCAGACGCAGGACAGGGAGATCCGTCCGGAAACGGCGGCGGAGCTGGAGACGAACTGTGCGGATCCAAGGGATCAGAACAGCAGGGACCTCACCCTTGGTGCGCAAGGGGAAGACCGTGGTGTAACGCGAGTAGTCGTCGACAACCAGCAAAAAGTACCGCTCACCGCCCTGGCCACGAACGCGGGCTGGGCCCCACACGTCCAGGTGGAGGGTCTGCAGAGGAGCCTCTGTCGGGGGGAACGAGGAGGAGTGAGGAGCGGCGCGCTGCCGCCCCTCGACGCAAGGAAGGCAAGGTGGCGCAGGCGAGGCAGGGAGGGGAGGGAGGGACCTGGGAAGACCAGACACAAGGCGGCTACGGTGCATGCCACGGAGGCGTGGCAAGGAGGGGTGACCCAGGCGGTGGTGCCAGAGAAGAGTCTGGTGCGACAGGGAACGACACTCACAGGTGTGGGCCACCAGACCTGACGCGGACACCTGACCGACAGCAGCGACCTGAGGAGACGCAGTGGTCAGTGTGTAGAGACTCGACCCCGGCCGACGGGTAAACGTAGCCAGGTGATGGCCGGTCCTGGAGCACGTGCAGATCGCCACACGCTGTCCTCCAGGGGTAAAGGTGTCAACCCACTGATCCTGGATGACAGCGTTGCTCACCAGGTTCGTCGAGAACGAGGGGAGGTGGAAACCCGACAACGAGCCAGACGGAACCGCCGGACAAGGGAGCACAGTGGTGGACTGGGCAAGGACTGGGCCCCCAGAGGGGTCAGCCAAGGAGACTGGTACCGGTGCAGGAAGCGGTGTGAGCTCAGTACTGTCACGAAAGAAACAGCGGGAAGCACCTGAGTCAAGGGTGAAGGTGTGACAGGCCTCAGCCGGTGCGGTACCTGAGAGAGCAGTCTCTGTGAGTGCTGTACCTGAGAGAGCAGACTCACTAGTACCCAGGGCAGCGGGCTCTATACCTGGGTCAGGCGGCACACACAAGTAACAGTCTCCCTCGGCACTAACAGTCAATGCATACATGGCAGCAATAATAGCATCATAGTCAAGAGCAAAGATATCAACACCAGCCCTCATGAGTTCAGCCCAGCGGGGGCGCTCAACATCCTCGCCCATCTCCTCACGCCAAGCGTCGTCAAGGCGGGAGAAGCAGCGGTACGGGGTGTGGAACCTCCCACACGTCTGTCCCTTGCGGTCACCTGTGCGAATGACATAGGAACAGCGGCCACTGCCCCCCGACGTCCCACGCTGAGCAAGCCACTCACGAAGTTGCTGGGTCGTCTGGGGACGCTGCTGCTGCTGGGAGCTCTGGGCCGAGCCAGTGCCTCCACTCCGACCTCCGCCGCCACCACCGCCACCACTACCACCGCTCCGACCGCCACCGCCGCCACCACCGCCGCCGCCACCACCGCCGCCGCCGCCACCACCGCCACCGCTCCCTCCGCCGCCCCCGCCTCCGCTGCCGACCCCACTCCCACCAGCACTCCCGCCACCGCTCCCTCCAGCACCGCCTCCCCCCCCACCTCCCCCACCTCCTCCCCCCCCAGCGCCACCCCCGCCACCCTTGCCCCCCTTGCCCTTGCCGGTGCGGCGCCTCCCACCAGGAGCAGAAGCAGCGCCAGCAGACTCAGCACCAAGGAAGTCAACAGCAGCAGCAGTAGCGTAGGAGGGAGCGAGGGGAGAGGGAGAACACCCCTCAAAGATGGGGGTGCGAGGAGCGCCACGAGCAGCACCGACAGCGACAATGCTCTTTTCGGCCGCTAGCAGCTGCTCCTCTAGGAGGGTGACTGTGAGCTCAGTGGGACAGCGAGCAAGGAAGTGGTCTCGAACTGAGCTGAGGGTGTCAGGGAGACGGGTGACTATGAAGTGGAGTGTCCAGTACAGTGGAGGGGGGTTCTTAGCGCAGAACTCGGTGGGAAGGGCGGCACGCAGGCGAGCATCACTAGTGCGAAGGTGGGTGATAAGATCGGCGACTGTAGTAAAGGTGGACAGCTCAGGGAACAGGTACGGCAGCATGAGGCGGCTAAGCTCGGCTGTGGCAGGTGAGGAGTAGCGAGCAACGACAGCATCGTACAGGGCCTTAGCGGATTTGCAGTCGCCAAAATGCTCGAGCTCAGCTAGCGGCAGGTGACTGCGAATGGCTAGGCGAGCAGCTGCGTCACGAGTCTGCCAGTGGGAACGAACACTAAGCTCAGCTGTGGCAGGAGGGGCAGGTGCAGCACCAGACGCGTGCTCCTTGCTATCGCTCAGAAGGAACAGCTGCAGGTCATCCAGCCAGGTGGCGAACTTCACAGGGCGGCCCTCAGCATCGAACGACAGCACGCGGATAGAAGCCATAGCGACAGTGCGACTGAGCAAAGGAAGCTGCCGCAGCGCTGCAGGTAGGTAGCTCGGCGGGAAGCGCGGCGGGCGGGCGACGCGGCGAGCGGGCAGTGCGGGGGGCGGGCGACGCTGCGAAGTGGGCAGCGGGCGGGCTACGAAGCGGGCAGCGCGGTGGGCAGGCGGCGCTGCAGGCAGGAAGTGAGGCGGGCGGGCTGCGAAGCGGGCTGCGGGACGGGCAGGCGACGCGGCGAGCGGGCAGCGCGGCGGGCGGGCTGCGAAGCGGGCAGCGGGCGGGCGGGCGACGCTGCAAGCGGGCAGCGGGCGGGCGGGCGACGCTGCGAGCGGGCAGCGCGGCGGGCGGGCTGCGAAGCGGGCAGCGGGCGGGCGGGCGACGCTGCAAGCGGGCAGCGAGGCGGGCGGGCGACGCTGCGAGCGGGCAGCGCGGCGGGCGGGCGACGCTGCGAAGCGGGCAGCGGGCGGGCGGGCGACGCTGCGAGCGGGCAGCGCGGCGGGCGGGCTGCGAAGCGGGCAGCGGGCGGGCGGGCGACGCTGCGAAGCGGGCAGCGGGCGGGCGGGCGACGCTGCAAGCGGGCGGCTCGGCGGGCGGGCGACGCTGCGAGGGGCGCGCGAGGGCGCTAACGAGAGGCGCACGAGGGCGCTAACAAGGGCGCGCGAGGGCGCTAGCGAGGGCGCGCGAGGGCGCTAACGAGAGGCGCACGAGGGCGCTAACGAGGGCGCGCGAGGGCGCTAACGAGGCTAGGGCACGGGGTAGCGTGGTAACCGCATGCGAGCGGTGGTGGGCCCTTAAAAAAAAAACGGTCGGTAGGTCCTAGGGACCTCCTGCTCTGAATACCATGTCAGAATAACTAGGCAAGAATGAGTGCATTGAATGGAACAGTTGGGTACAAGTAGCAAACCCTAGTTGGGGTTGTACCCCATATTGGCTACCCCACTACAGCCTACCAACATATAACACATTACAATTTAACAGTTCCAGAACAATTAAGCCGTTGCCATGGATGGAGGCGGTGCGACACACGTAAATGTGCCGGCCGGGTTCGCGGTGCCGTCAACGTCCGCTCCATGCACTTCTAATCCAACGTTCATGGGTGAGTTCAATGTCAGAAGCCCTTTAATCCCAGCCACTAACCACTGGGATAAAAGGGCTTGTTTATATAGCGGGTGAGTGCGCCCATAACCCCCCAGGCCGACATGCCTGTAACCCTTCCCTAGGATCATCGGGGATCTCCAGTGGACCTCTGACACCCCCCCGCACTGGAATCCCGGTGTGTGCACCTCGGGCATCCCAGTGCGGGGGGGTGTCAGAGGTCCACTGGAGATCCCCGATGATCCTAGGGAAGGGTTACAGGCATGTCGGCCTGGGGGGTTATGGGCGCACTCACCCGCTATATAAACAAGCCCTTTTATCCCAGTGGTTAGTGGCTGGGATTCTGACATGGTATCAGAGCGAAGGTCTCGGGTTCGAATCCTGGTGTGTGCACCTCGGGCATCCCAGTGCGGGGGGGTGTCAGAGGTCCACTGGTGATCCCCGATTGATCCTAGGGAAGGGTTACAGGCACGGCGGCCTGGGGGGTTATGGGCGCACTCACCCGCTACACAAACAAGCCCTTTTATCCCAGTGGTTAGTGGCTGGGATTCTGACATTCAAACCCCGTGTGTGTTATGTTTCTGTTGTAATAGTGATAATTGATGGTCGTTCATGCATTATGAGGATACAATCATCATTGACACATGCACATGGCGCTCAAACATTTCTACTTCACGTTCGTGCCTGTCTAGCTCCCCCTCCTCATAGCACCCCTCCTTCGAAGCGCCCGCGAGTTGCAGACACGACCACCATGGCTGCCACGAAGCTGGTTTGTGAGACTATCAAGGGATGCCACGCGAATGCGATGACCAAGCTTGAAGGCCTCGTCCGCACCTGGATGCAGCAGGACGAGTGGATTGCTCGCGAACGACTGCATCAGACCGCCCCAGCTCCGCCGACACGCAACGACGTCCCCGTGGAGGCGGACACCCAGCCCGCTACGAACGGCGCCGAAGGCGGCGACGACGGATGGTTCCGACGAGGGCAGTTTGGCGATGTCACTGCTAACCCAGATGCGGACGAGGAGGTGTGGGTTCGCGGCGACGCCGAGTAAGGTAAGACGCCTCTAGTGCCTCACTAAGCCGCTTGCGTCTTTTCCGCAATGTTGCTTGTGTGAACGGGACACACGGCTCCCATTTGAAGTCGGCGACAGTGCCGCGGGTCCATCATGGGTCCCAGTTTTGTGGCAAGTTGGCCCACGTTGTATTGACACGCCTCACCTCCCCCATTGTTTCGGACATGTGGTGCAGGATGACGCAACAAGACGCTCCTACAAGCACGCGCCACAGTTTGCAGTCGTTGCGGCACGCGAATAAACGCCATCTGCCTTTGAAGGCGCCGATGCAGCGCTCTATTGCCATGCGCGTAGCGCTTTGGCAATAGTTGAAGCACTGCTCTCACTCTTCCATTAGGCCCTCTCGGGGTGCTAGTAGTGGGGTCAGGCAAAAATCTTTGAGTGGGTAGGCAGCATCTCCCACTATTTAATATGGCGCTATGTCGCCGTTGTGCAACCTTTTGTGCAACACACTGTTCATGAATACGCGTTGATCGTGTGCACTCCCTAGGTAACCAATCAGGTAGTCCCATATGATGCTGCGCGCATCACATGTCAACTGCAATTGCACGGCATAACACGACTTCCGTGTATATTACTCCTGCCTATGCCCTTCCATACCCTTCATGTGTATATGTGTCCCATCTATAGTCCCTACTACAACAGGTACACCTTTGACGGCGCAAAACTCCTCGGCCATCTTATCAAGTTCCTCTCGGGTCGGGAAGTGGACCCACTGTTGTTTGAAGACCGACGGGAAGTGCATCAGCCACACAACGACGAGCGCATGACAGAGGGTCTTCGACAACCCAAAAAGGTGAGCCATATCTACGTACGACATTTCGCTTGATAGGTACTTGATGGCGACCAAAATCGCGACCTAATGGGTGATGTAGTACCTCTCGACATATGGCTGCATGTGGTATTGCATGCCAGTGATGATGTACTCCAGTATTGATCAATTTATTCTAAAGTGGTCTTTGAACTCGCCGTCTCCCATGCCCTGCAGGTCCTCGAGCAACAGCTGGTACCGACGAGCGCGCAGACTTGCCATTCTCGACCATTTTGCCGTCCTGTTGGAGCTGTGTGAGCTAGACGGGGACAAGATGTTCTCGGCGAAGACATTGGCTTCCAGAAAGCCGCCGACCGCCCTAGCGACCATGTCCATGAAAATAGAGTAGTAGAACGTGATCCATGCGACTAGCAGTCGCATGAGCTAAGGCAGAGCACGATGTTGTGCCATAGTTGCAACTGCAACGAGCACTTCGGTTTGTATGTGTTGCTTGCTGTTTGTACTTGTACCAGGGCCTCTGATTTGCACTTGTGTGTGTTGTTCTTACCCGGATATAAGACCCCCCCCAGTTGTAGACCCCCGGGTATATAATACGGACGTGGGTCTTCTATTTGGGTATTTTTTTGTTATACCCCCCTTTTTGGCTGAAAACATTATAAGACCCCCCACCTTTACAGCAAACGTGTGATTTTATAATATAATAGAGTCGTTTTGTGAAGGAGAACATAATGTTTCCCCTTCGGATGAAGTCACGTGGCCATCGCACCGTCAATGTTGTGCATTTTTTTTTTGTTTTTTCCGCCATTACGAGGCTCATGAATCAAAGCTTGACCAGTTGCGAGGGTGATGCCACCTGGCAAATGCTTGACTGTGCGATTTGTTGGGCTGAGACAGCCCTTAGGATCTTTTGCAAGGGTAAACTCTGGGTAGAGATGATGTAATAGCGGAAGCTTTAATGATGTAATTGTGAACCACCTTGCGCTAGTATGTGAGGGCAAAGTAAGTTGATTAAAGCAAAGAGATACAAGCATTTATATAAGAGTACAAGGAATATGAAGAGAAACAGTTATAACTACTTTACTGTTTGCTGTTGCGATTCGATACAGTGACGACTCGGGCAACCGCTCTGTAGCGAGTCAGTTGTGTGTCCTTGCTGTCGCGCTGTATTTGTCAGGTCAAAGGTTGCTGACCTTTGACTTTCGCGTAACCTCCAACAGTTACTTTCAACCTCCGAGGGTTGACTCGCCGGTGTTTCGATGTGTTTCGCTTCGCTTGTGCCATAGTGTTTCGACACGACAGAGGCGCTTAAGATTCATTGTTTCCAACACTCCCCTTCGCTTCTGGAGTGTCGCTGCTGGTGACGTGGCTCTGTCCAGTCAGCAGCATGCAGTACTCGAATTTCTGTTTTCCGAGCTTCTTGGTCAGGTAGTCAGCTGCCATCTCGGATGTGGGGCAGTATGACAGTTCAAGCCTTCCTTTTTCGATCTCGTCCTTCACGAAGAAGTATCGCAGGGCGATATGTTTCGTCCTGTTCGCGAAGCCGCTTTTGTTGGCTATACGAATTGCCGACAGGGTGAAGCTGGGTAACTGAGCCAATTTTGCTTCTTCCAGCAGTTCGCGAAGATAGAGTCCTTCCTTGGTGGCTGAGCAGAGTGCGATGTATTCTGCTTCAGCTGAGGAGAGAGCAATTAGTTCCTGTTTGCTCGACTGCCAGGAGATAGGACCGATAGGCTCGAAGC